CCGGCGGTACATTACATGCCTAGGTAGATACGTGAGCGTATGCATACTATGTAATCGGTGAGAGGTCGCGTTATAGATTTGTCACGCTCGATTTTAGCAGCGAATTTCACGAGAAACAGCCAGTCTTTGTCGCGCGGCGCGCGTAGGGTGTCAAATTGCATTACGTTTCTTCTGTGTAAAAGAGGGCGTGTCCCGCCGTGAAATATTCAGTTAAATTTCTCAAGTGTCCCTTCGTTCGAAATTACATCACGGCCGGTGCACGGCGCTGGTGGTGGTCTCCGCGAGAGTTCCACGATCACGACGAGTCGTGCTTTGGTGTGAAACGTCGCCTTAGTCTCGAGATGTCGTACTCGCGAATCTCAGCGGGGTGCTGCTAACATAAATGACACGTCGACAGTGTGCGCTTATCCCGCTCTCGAGATGATCAAGTCACACGTGATTCTCTCTCTCTCTCTCTCTCTGGTCGATGAGCAAGTACTTAATCGGGAATAATGCTCTTATATATCAATTGTTCCGAAATCCGGAACAAGCAGACTATCGACTCTCGGACACGCGAGCGCGCGAGGACGAATGCTTTTGCCCGTAAAAATAGACTGACATTGGTTCTCGTTCCGCGTTATTAATATTGGCAAATCGACCCGACATCTCCTCTGCTGTTGGCCGACTCGCAGGCGGCAGCTTCGGACGGCCGGCAAATTATGTTACATTCTGTATAAAAGGGTGTAACTCGCTTCCTGCATCTGCAACGGCGGCGGTGGTGGCGGCAGCGGCAGCAGCAGCGGCGGTGGTGGTGATGGTAGTGATGGTGGTGGTGGCGTGGCGGTGGTAGTGATGGTGGCGATGGTGGCGGCGGCGGCGGCGGCGACGGTGGCGCGAAGTCAAAATCTTTATAGACGTTCAATGACCCCGACCCTGGCCAGACGGTCGCAGGGTAACGTTGCTGGTAGTGATGGTGGTAGTGGTAGTGACGATGGTGGTGCTGCTGGTGGTGGCGACGGCCGGGATACGAGGGTTGAAGGGTGCGAGCGAGAGAGAATGAGAAAGAGAAGCAAGGTGGGGTTTGAGGGTGGCCCTGATGCTGGCGTACGTACGTACGCTATGCATGCGCTTCACGATGTGCGGCATCAGGTGAAGAGTGGGGGTCACAGGACGGGAGGTTGGTTGGGGCGGTTGGGTGGTTTAGGTGGTTGGCCGATGGCGGTGGCCGTGGAGAGGTGGTAGCTGCAAAAGGGGTTGCGATGGTTGCGGAGAGCGTCGGCGCGAGAGGGGAAGGAGGGCGTCGCCTGGCGTCGGGTCGTCAACCTTTCTGCAGCACTGCGACGTCGTCGGGGTCGTTATTATTTCCTCCTCCTCTCCTCCACCTCCTTCTCTTCCTTCTTCTTCTTCTTCTTCTCATCCTCCTTCTAGTCTCGGCACGTCTTTGCACACTCTAGTCGTCTCCTTCGCTCTCTCTCTCTCTCTCTCTCTCTCTCACACACACACTCTCTCTAGTCTTTCTGATTTCTCTTCAAAGTACTACGTGTATTCTCTTCTACTCCCTTGTCTCAGTCTCTCTCCCTCTCTCGCATGTTCCGTGTTTCCGTTCGGCCCATCTTAACGCGCTTTCTCGAGCCACCNTACCCCTCTAATTTAATCAACAAATGTAACTCTGCTAACGAACCGTCCGTATCATTGTTCTTTTCTTTATAAAGAAATGAGCAAACTTAAATCAGTTTACCGGAAAACCCGAGATCGATCAATGACGTAACTTTTTCCATCAAACTAAAACATGAAACTGAACGATTCGTGTTAATGTTTCTGTTTTCTTAGAGAAATGAAAGAGTAAATCAGTACCGAAACTCGAAATTCGAATTGAATACCGTAATCAGTGTCAGAAAAATTGTCCAAGTGCAAAGACAATTTGCTACATTTTTCAGGTACTTACCCGTCTAAACTTATTCAACAAATTAACGCGGATAACAAGAACGATTGGTATCAATTTTTTTGTCTTATAAAAAATGAGAAAATAAATCAGTACCGAAAACCGAAGACTGATTAATATCATAAATCAATGTCAAGAAAATTATCCAAGTGCAATGACAAGTTGTTTTCATCTTGCAGGTACTTACCCCACTAATTTATTCAACAAATTAAGTCGGATAAAAGAACGATTCGTATCAATTTTTATTCTCTTATAAAGAAATTAGAGAATCAGTCAGTACCGAAAATTGAAACCGATCAATATTTAATTTATTCATCAAATTAACGCGGATAACTGAACAACGCTCCGTATGAATTTTTTTTTCTTATAGAGAAATGAAAGAATAAATTAGTACCGAAAAATCGCATATCGATTAATACCGTTAAATCAGTGTCAGGAAATTGTCCAAGTGCAATGACAATTTGTTCTCATTTTCCAGGTACTTACCCCTCTAAACTTATTCAACAAAAATTAACTCGGATAAACGAACGATTCGTATCAATTTTTTTTTGTCTTATAAAAAAATGAGAAAATAAATCA